GAAAAGATAACTAAATCCAAAAAAGTTAAGGGCAAATTGGGTTCCCTCTCAGGTTTTTAGTGCCCTTTCCCGCTCGGATTCTATTGTTACCCGGCATTTCTTTTGCTAGGCTGAAAAAAAAAAAAAAGAAAATGAATATTGTGTAACATTGTAACAATCATAATGAAAATGTTTAAAGAAGGCCGGGCATGGTGGCTCACGCCTGTAATCCTACCTCTGTGGGAGGCCGAGGCGGGCGGATTGTTTGAGCTCAGGAGTTCGAAACCAGCCTGAGCAAGAGCAAGACCCCATCTCTACTAAAAATAGAAATAAATTAATTGGACAACTAAAAATATATAGAAAAAATTAGCCGGGCATGGTGGCGCATGCCTGTAGTCCCAGCTACTTGGGAGGCTGAGGCAGAAGGATCGCTTTAGCCCAGGAGTTTGAGGTTGCTGTGAGCTAGGCTGACGCCACGGTACTCACTCTAGCCCGGGCAAAAGAGCGAGACTCTGTCTCAAAAAAAAAAAAAAAAAAAAAAAAAGAAAATGTTTAAAGAAAAAAAAATAAACCTACAATTTTACCATCTTACATAATTAATTATTTCACTTTTCCTTGTTTTCTTTTACTCTTTCTCCCTGTACATGAAGAATTATGCTTTGCTTACTATGTGCTCTATTATTTAGAAGGTAAACATTCTAATTTTTGCTAATTATTACTTAAAACATTTTAAAGAACATTACATCTAATTATATCAGTGAAATGTAACTTTGAAAGAAAACAACTTTTTCTTTTAAGGAAGACAAAGAATATAGCACCAATGTTTTGGCAGGTTTTTATAGAATTAATCAGTGGAACGCTTATTCTTCCTGGTAAAATATCTCATCCTGTTAATCATTGTCTTAGTAGTGAGGGAGGGAGACTGGAGGGACAGTGGTGCCATTAATTAGGACAGAGACCCACAAAGAGGAAGAGGAGAGATTTGCTGTGGTCAGTGGAATAATACTAATTATTCTGTACTTAGGGTTAACCTTACTCAAACATAGAAATACAGAATTAGCTATTTAACGCCATTTATCCAGGAAATGTTTACCCATCCCCTAGCCATTCTGGCCACTGTGCTTGTCCTGAGAATACAAAGTAAATAAGATTCACTCTCTGCCCTCAAGGAACTCACAGTCCAGCGAGAGAAATACTGTTTCCTTTTGGAAAGCTAGCACACTAGCTGGAAAGACCATTTTCCTTTGCCCTACTCCTAAAGACCTGCAACTCATAAGAAGTATAGAGATAAAATCTCATATGGACAAAGAGCTTTGGAGTTACATGACCTGGGCCCTGAATTTGGGCCTTGCAATATACTATTAATAGCTGAATGATGATCTTAGATCAAATAACTTAGGGCTGTCACCTGTAACTACAGAGTTGTTCTAAAGATTGGATAAGAAAAGGTATGTAGAAATTTTCTGTAAAGTGCAATATACATATTAGCAATTATTATAATTATTACAAATCTAACCTGCAAAAACCAGACGTGAATCAGCCAGACGTGAATCAGTCAAAGGTGAAAAGGCCACCTTGGAATTCTGTTGGTGGCAAGAATTCCAGGATGAAGGAAAAAACAAGACTGGTGTAACAGAGAAAAAAGAACAGGGTTTCGGATCCTACAGACCTAGTTCAAATCACCATTCAGTCAGTTATTAGCTATGGAAAGTTCAGCAAGTGATGTTATCTATCTGAGCTTTAGTTTCTTCATCTGTAAAACTGAGTTAATAATACCTACCCAGGAAGGGTTGTTTTGAATATGTAAAGGGTTTGGCGTGGTGCCTGGCAGAGTTGTTGCTCAATTAATGGTAACTGTGCTCTTATTAATATTATCATTTTCCTCTTCTGCCTCCTAAGGGATTTGTTTAGGTGGTTAAGTTACTTGAGATACAAGGAAGTGAGGGAAATGGAAGAGCTAGTAAAGACTTACTTAAAAAGTTATTTTTAAAGGTAAAGAAAAGCAGCTCAACTCAGCTTTCCTCTCCTAACCTATAGCACAAAAATATCTCTTATAGAAACTGATCACTGCATTATGAGAGCTGGAGCCTGAGAATAGCCACTTTGTTAATTATTCCTTGTATTCTAGGTAGATCTACCAATTACTATTAATAAGGGTTCTCTAAAAGAAAAGTTTCTCAAACTTTAACGTACACATGAGCCACCTGGGACTTGTTAAAAGGCAGATTTTCATTTAGTGGATTCAGGGGGAGACATTTCTAATAAGCTCCCAGGTGAAACTCATGCTGCTGGCTCATGGACCACACTTTGAGGAAGCAGCAAGGCTCTGACATATCTTCCTTGGCATAGTGTTCACTGTAATGGCCTGCTTCTCCTTAATGATCTACCTAACTGCAAACTAACTATTAATAGAACACTAAGCAAGCTTTTTTTCAGACCAGACTTAGAAATTTTGTACAATGACTTGTTTCAAAAGGTCAGTATCAACTTTTTTGAACTATGTACAAGGCACTGTGCAAGGTGCTACGATAAAAAAGGTTAACGACACAATTTCTACTTCTAAAGCCTATTCTTATTCTAACACTATATGCCCTCTAGACTATTAACCTCCTGAGGACAGTCTTGCCTCCCCTGTTGCCTAAGGCTGTATAGATAACAAATATAATGAATGAATGGGTTCACAGGAGTTTCATTAAAAATGTCTTCTGGCAACGCAGGACAATGAGACACTATTTTTTTTTTTTTTTTTTGGATAGGGTTTTGCTCTGTTGCCCAGGCTGGAGTGCAGTGTGGCACGATCACAGCTCACCGCAGCCTCAAACTCCTGTGCTCAAGTGATCCTCCCACTTCAGCCTCCTGAGTAGCTGGGACTACAGGCACACACCACCACACCTGGCAAACTTTTTAAATTTTTTGTAGATGAGGTCTCACTATGTTGCCCAGGCTGATCTTGCTGGCCTCAAGCAATCCTCCCACCTCAGGCTCCTGAAGTGCTGGGATTAGATGCATGAGTTCACTGTGCCCAGTGGAGACACTATCTTAACTATCACCTGTAAGAGGTGATTGAGTTAAAATGAGGCTATTAGAGTGGGCCCTAATCCAATCTGACTGATGTCCCTATAAGAAGAGAGAATTTGGACACATGAGGAGGCACCAGGGATGCACATACACAGAGGAGATACCATGTCTACAAGCCAAGGAGAGGGGCTTCAGAAGAAACCAAACCTGCCAGACACCTTGATCTTGGATTACTAGCCTCCAGAACTGTGACAAAATAAAATTTTGCTGTTTCAGCCACTTGGCGGTATTTTGTTATGGCAGCTGTTGCAAACTAACACAGATTTTTCACACCTTTTATGCCCAGATCCAAGACCCTACTTCTGTAGGATACACAAAGTATAAGCATAATTCTAAGAGAGGATGAATGAACCTCAAAGTGAAGTGAGACCTATTAATGCAAGGATTAAGGGGCAATAGAAGAGGGTAAAACAGCAGCCCAGATTGGGCTAAAACAGCTGCCAGATACACATTTCTCTCCCCTTCTCATAATACCAACACAAAATATGGAGCTGTTCTCTCCCCAAATCTGAAACTGAACGTAGCTTTTTTAGACGTTTTCCCCCTTCTTGGGCCACATTTTAATATTTAACATGATTTTAAAATATTGTGGCAGGAGGAAGATCCCAGATTTCTCTCTGTATTCAACATCCTAAAGACTGCTTGTGATGATAGGTCATGAGACTGAATTTTTGACAAATAAGAAAACGTCTACAAAATGCACAAATTAGAGTCCTGCTAGCCACAGGGAAACTACATTTGAAGCCTAATTCTAAAGTAAGGGAATTGGTTTTTTTAATTTTGTTTTTTGTTTTTAATAACATGTCAACTGATATGTACAGATGGGTGCCTCTTTTAAAATAATCATTATGGAAAGTCCTATCCTTATTCTATCATGTCATTATTATCTAATTATGTCGAGTTCCTTTTAGGGTTTGTGAGATAGTCTTTTGAGCGCTCTCAATGTTGACTCTTGAAAACAGATTTGATTTTCAATACGAATCTGGTGAATTAGGGGAGCAGTTAAACTGTGTAATGCCAAGAGGATTGACTCTAAAATATCTAGTTTGGCTTTTCTTGAGTGAATTTGTACTCAACCCCAGAAGGCAGTTTCCAAAAACAAACTCCAGACATGAAGTAAACATGTTATAGGCATGACATCACATTTGAGGGTGGGAGGGGGGATGGTGACTGCACTGAAGGGAACCCCACTCATTTGGATATGCAAGTTTTCTAGGGTCTTGTCTCCCCAGAATATTTCCTCAGGTCCAGATCTACCCTATTTCACAGGACAAGTTCCCAGGAGTACAAGGACTGCACTGCCTTAGTCAACTTTTAATTCCCAACTAGGGTACTTAATGTATATTGAATGAATAACTGATGGGAAGTTAAATATGGGATTAGAATGTCTAACAGGCTCACTTCATGTAAATTGAAGGGTAGAACTTGGAGGCTCTGGAGATACAAATTTCTCCTCCATGTGAGGAACACTTTGTCAGCAGCTGGAGCTGTCCAGCAATGGAGTTAGTTTGCTCTGGAAAATAGTGAGCTTCTAGCGCTGGGAGTTTAAAGCAAAGGTTGCTTGTTATGAGAATCTGTAGAGGTGCCCTCTATAATGGGTGAGGAGCTATGCACTGACCTCTAAGGGCTATCCCACAGTCCAGCCTACACAACACCTGGCATTTGGTAGGTCCTGGAAAACACTCAGGGAATGGAATGAGTGAGGAGTATGGTGCATCTTGTGAGCCAAGCAAAGGGGAAGAGCCCTGGGGCTCAGTCAGCTGCGAGGAAAGTAGAGAGAAGTGACGTGAAAATATCCAGGAAGCCAAGAGGTAGAGTCTTACTTGAAGTTTTGGTACCATAGGACAGAAATTTCTTTGGGTACCTAAAGCCTCACATGGTTATGAAAGGATGATACCTTTGAAGGGGATAAGAGTTGGGGGAGGAGACAGACCACTGCTCACCCTTCTTAAACTCTTCCAGCACCGTGTCCAGCCGGGTATCATTGAAGACGCAGTGCAGGGGCCGGTTGTAGAAGCGGGTGACGGTGAGGAGCGGGGTGCAGTCGTCGGGGTCCACGAAAGCCAAGTCCTTGACAAACAAAATGTCCACAATGTTGTGCCGCTGGTCGCCCTCGTACACTGGGATGCGAGTGTAGCCGCTGCGCAGGATCTCAGAGACTGTGGCGAAGTCGAGCACCGCGTCCGAGCGCAGCATGAAGCAGTCTCCGAGGGGGGTCAGCACCTCCTCCACCACCTTGGTGCGCAGCTCCAGGGCGCCCTGTATAATGTTGAGCTCTTCCTTCACGAGGTCGCTGTAGGGGTCTGCGGCCCGCAGCGTCTCCAGCAGCTTCTCCCTCGTGTAGAAGGTGCTGATCTCCTGGCGCAGCGCCCAATCCAGCAGGCGGCCCAGAGGGTAGCACACGGGGAAGGCGGCCACCATCAGAAGCCGGGTCAGGCACACGCTGTGCGAGGCGATGGCCAGCCCGTGCCGCGAACACACAGAGTAGGGGCAGATTTCAGCGCCCAGGAACACGGCGCCGGTGCACACGAGCGCCGGCAGCCACGGGAAGTGAATCCCCACCTCGCTGTAGTCTTCCTCTGTGCCTCCGACGCCCGGCGGCAGCGAGGCATACAGCCAGCCCGCCAGGGCCGCGTTGGCTCCGGCTTGGCCCAGGAGCAGGGTGCAGAGCAGATGGGTCCCCCTGCCGCGCACGGCCTGCACGCGGCGCGCCTGCTCCTGCTCGGCTGCCGAGCCGCTGTTCCGCAGCACCCGTAACTCCACCGGGTCCAGCGAGAGCAGGCTCAGGCGCAGGCCGCTGAACAGGGCGGACAGGGCGAGGAGGAGGAGCGCCCCGAGCGCCCGCAGCCAAGCGGGGGCCAGCAAGTCCCCGCCAGGGCCGTAGAGCCGCGGGCGGACGCGCAGCAGGAAGCCGCCGGCGGCGCCGTGGTGGTGCCAAGCGCGCCCATCCCAGGCGCACAGCGAGAAGAGCTTCCCGCCACCGCCCGCGCCGCTCCGCTCCGCTTCTCCCTTGCGCAGCTCCCGCACCCGCACCTGGACCAGGGCTGAGCCCGCCACGCCCCCGGGGCGCAGAGGCCCCAGGACCTCCACGTCCGATGCCCAGTCGCTCTGCTCACGGCAGCGCTGAGGTCCCGGGGGCCGCGTGGGTACCGCACTGGGCTCCACGCCGCTGCCGCCTGGGGGCTCCTCAATAAACACTAGCCGCGGAGCCGAGTCGCCCGTGCCGTTCTCCCCCGGGGAGAGGGTGGGTGCGGGCACCCGCGCGGCCGGCGCCTCAGGTCCGGGCTGGAAATAGACGCGCAGGAGGAAGCTGGTGCCTTCGGCCGCACGCAGGGTGCCCCCCTCCAGGGACACGCGGCCTCCAGCGGTGTCCTCGGGCCGCAGGCCTAGCAGCCAAGCGGCGGCAGCCGGGGGCCGAGGAGAAAGAGAAAAGAAGAGCAGGAGCATAGCGCCCTGGCTGCAGCAGTCCCGGAGCCTGACACCCACCGCTGCTGCTGCTGCCGCCGCCGCCGCCGCCATCCTGCACCCGGCGCGGCTGCACGTGATACTGCAGAAAGCCGAGCAAGAGCTGGAGGGAGGAGGAGCCGGAGCCAGGAACCCGGCCCCAGGCAGGTCACCACGTGTATGCCCCCGGCGCGCGTGGGCTGGAGGCGGTGGGGATTCAGACCTTGCCTGGGCTGGGGGCCCCTGCTGGGGGTTGGAGATGACCACGCATCATGGCACAGTGTGTAGCCGGTACACACTTCGGTATATCTGAGCTGCAGCCTGGGGAAGGCTTGGCTTGGAGATGGCCTCCTACTTCAGCAGTAAGGCGCCTCTCCGCGAACTCCTACCCGGCAGTAATTCCCTGCCGCCCCACTACTTCCCCAGTTCTTCCCCATTGGTCCGGAAAATTTCCCAGCTGTATGCTTCTACTCCTGCCACTTGCATTCCCCCTTCTGGCCAAAACGTATTCTGGAGGCAAGTCTTGAATCTGAAAACTTGTAGTGTTTGGTGTCAACTCCAGCTGACCTTTTCACATTATAAAAATTTCCAAATTATTTAAGTTCAATTTCTTAAGATCCGGATGTCCATAAATAAGAAACAGTTGAAATAAATCATGACATGATTATGCAATGGGATATTATGCGGCAAGAAAAAAGAATGAGGTGGATCCATTGTATGTGTGATATGGAAAAATCTAAGTAATTGTAGAAAAATAGCAAGGTGCAGAATAGCATGTATAATATTCTACCATTTACGTTAAAAGTACTTTTGTATAAATTTGTATATATACACACACATGTGCATTTTAAAACGCAGAAGACACACAAAAAACTTGTTTACCTCTGGGAAGCAGGATTAGAGTCTGGAAGTTTGGTCGAGACTTTTAAAAAATTTTAGATTAACAGGAAGTTGCAAAGATAATACAGAGAGATCCCCATAGCCTTCATTTAGTTTCCCCCAATGATTACATCCTAACTATAGTACAATATGAAAAGCAGGAAATTGAGATTGGTACAATGTGTGTGCATAGTTTTATGTCATTTTATCACATGTGGATTTATGTAACCATCACTGCAATCAAAATACAGATCTATTCTATCACCACAAAGATCTGGGAGATTTTTTTTTACTGAATTCCATTTATTGTTTGAATTTACCATGGGCCTATATTAACATTATTTTTATTTTATGCATCTGTTTTTAAAAATTATATAGTAAAATTCACTTTTTGGTAGACTGTTCTATGAGTTTTGACAAATGCATATACTTGTAACCATCACAATTAAAAATAGTTCCATCATCCCCTCTCCATTCTCTTACTATCCTGCTGTAGCCAACTCCTCCCTCCATCCCATCCTCTGCAAATTACTGATCTGTTCTTCCCTATAGTTTTCTTTTCCTGAATGTCATATAAATGGAATAATAAAGTAAGTAGGCTTTTTGGATCTTGCTTCCCTTACTAAGTTAGCGTATGTATTTAAGATTTATCTGTGTTTTGTGTTTATCAGTAGTTCAACCCTTTGGGTTCAGCCATCTGAGTAGCATTCCGTTATATGGATGTATCACAATTTGTTTATTCATTTATCAGTTAAAGAACATTTGAGTTATTTCCAGCTTTTATCAATATACTAAAGTAGCTATAATCAGTTATATGAAGGTCTTTGTGAGAACGTAAGTTTTTATTTCTCTTGAGTAAAATATAAAAGTAATAATAATTTCACATATTACCTTTGGCACCTGTGACTAATGTAAAAAATCATTGCTATGTGTGAAATCTTATTTTCTATGGCATTTGTGAGACCCCAAAGACACTGGCCAACAAAGGCTTGCAAAGGATAAAGCCTAATAAAAAATGATCCCAGCTAAAAGTTACCTTCTTTTCATAACAAACTCTTATGACCTGGAGTGGAAATAGCTTCTTCCTGGTTTGGGATTAGATAGGTCTTAGTAAGGTAGGCTGCTGGTCACATTCTTACCTGGGTTGCCTTTCACATTCTGCAGGGTGTGTGAAACAACCTGCCATTGCCTTAGAATATGCTAGACCTTGTCCATTGCAATAAGAAACAGAGGGAGGTTTAATCTGAAGAGGGAACATTGAAGCATTTATTGGAAGTATAGGGGAAAGAGAGAATTGGGGTCAACCATATGATAGTTTTTCTTAAGTGTTGGCAAAAAAGTTCTCATTCTCTCTGGACACTTCGACTTTTCTCCCTTCCCAACCTAAACCCCTCAGCACAAAGATACCTGTTATCCTAAGGATTCTCCTACCTCTTGTAGGCCACAGAACTTTATCATCATTACAATACCACCTAATGCCTTTATCAAGCTTTAGACTTACAAAGGAATTTTGCATTTATTATTTCATACACTCAAGAGCTCGATATAATTTCACCCATTTTATAGATCAGATTACATGACTAGTAGAACTTCTTTGTATTCTAGGTTGATGCTCCCTCTACCTGGTAGAACTGACCAAAATAAACCTTTCAAAAATATTAGAGCAGGAATTTAGAAACTTAAATTTCTTATTATAAAGTATTACATACTTATTAAAAATAAATTTTAATGCTAAAAAACAAAATAAAAATAAACTGTGACCCCACCAACCAGAGATAAACACTGCCAATATTTTGGCATACTCCTTTTTTATTTTCTACATGGATAAATAATTGAGAAATACAAACACATATAGTGTGTGTTCTCCATATATTTATATATTTTATAATTGAATAGATATTGTATATAATTCTAATCTTCTGTCACTTAACATACCAAGAGCTTTTTCTCCAATATAATAAAAATTCTTTAATAAAAATAATTTAAATAATTATTATATGTTATATATATGTATTATATGTTTTTTTGAGAAAGAGAACTATAAGAATGATCCTATTTCCAATTGCATCAGCTCTATTATTAACAAGTGCTAGGCTTGGGGAAATCAATTCACTTTTCTGGGCCCATTTCCTCATTTGTGAAATGCAAGACAGTTTTAAGGTCCTTACCCTTTGATGAGTCAGTGAGTAGAGGCTAATGTACACTGGATGAAGATAATCTAGAGAGACTGAGTACTTTTCCTTTTACTGGCAGGAGGTTCTGGAAAAGTACTGGGGTTTCCAGAGCTCTGCTGTAACTGAAAGGATTCCTGGGGACAGGTTCAGACAGTGTGGTTGTCATAAGGAAAAGCTGCCAAAAATAGCTCTCCAGAATCTGAATGTTCACTGTCTTCCTAGCTTACAAGATGGGCACTTCGTCACTTTTCAGAGATGGAGGAAATATTAACAATGCTTGCCTCTAATATCATAACTATGCTATTTAAGAATGTACATGTTAAATGTTTTTATTTTATTTCTTGTTCATCTATTCCATAAATATATGTTAATCAATGGAGTGTCAGGCTCTGTGCTGGATATTGGGCATATCTGACACTATCCTTGCTGTCTTGGAGCTTAGATTCTACTGAGGAAGACAGACATGAAGCAGAAATTGCTTCCCTATCTAATTAATTAATTATTCCTATGAGGGAGATGTTCAAAATGCCAGGAAGGTGGTTACACTTAGGGACTCATCTAGAGAGGAAGGCCTGGGAATACTGTCTCTAAAAATGGAAATGTTATGAAAATGGAAGAATTTATACACTAGGAAGAACATGAAAAATTCTATATTTTGTCTTCTATTCCTTTTTATGCTACTTTTAAAACTATGACAATGTATTAGTAATATTCCTAGTAATATAATCTGTTAACGTTTACTGATTGTTTATTATGTATCAAGTACATTATTCCTTTCAATCATCACAATAGATGAGAAAATTGAGGCTCTGATTGAGTGACTTTGTTAAAGTCACCTGATTAATGGGTAGTGGAGCCCAATTGGATGTAAAGTCTGAGTCCAGAGCCTACAGTTTAAAAAGTTAGGAAAATAATAATACCAGGTAACCCTTACAGAAGGCTTATTATGTATTAGGCATAAGTTAACTCGTTTAATTCTTGTAAGAACCTTTGGAAGTAGGTATTATCATTTCCATTTTACATGAGAAAGCTGAGCTACAGAAAGATTAAGTACATTGGTGGCCAAGATTATACAACTGATGGCTGAAACACTGCTAGTACACCCCACTATTTTATATAACACTACATTAAAGCTATCTGTTGTACTTTCGTTCTTTTACATACATCATTTTACATAGTTGCACTTACAATGTTCCTACAATTGAGGTATTCTGTTTCTTTTTATCTATCATTATAGCATAAATATTTTCCCACATTAAAGCCATAAACATGTTTTTCTTTTTTCCTTCCCTCCCCTGACCCTCAGTTGTTGGTGATGGTAATGGTGTTTATTTGTTGGTTTTACTACAGGCACAGAGGATTGTTAATCATCTTCATCAGTTGATAGTTGATGGTACACTATCATCATGGACTGAAAGGCCTCCCTCATCCCATCCTATTCCCCATTCCCATCCCCTCTCCCTTCAGACAGCCACTCCAATATTGCTATGTCCTTAAATATGTATGTATTATAAAATACTTAGTATTGGTTTATGTGTGTGTTTTTCTTTTATTGATATATAATTCACATACCATAAAATTTACTCTTTTAAAATATACAATTCAGTGATTTTTAGTATATTCACAAAGTTGTGCAACAATATCTAATTCCAGAACATTTCATCACTCCTAAAAGAAACCCTGTACCCATTAACATTCACTTCCCATTCCCTGCCGTATGCCTCTAGCAACCACTAATCTATAATCTACTATTGCGTATGTGTTTTTAACTTTCATAAAACATGCTATAGAACTTGTCCTGTTTCTTAGATTTTCACACAACACGATGTTTATAAGATCTGTTCATGTTGCCAGGTTTGGTGTTTCTAAAATGCTGCATGATATTTCATATTTCATAGCCTGAATATTATTTTTACCCATTCCCTCAGAGATGAACACTTAGATTACCAT